TCCCACCTGAACTATCCTGTGATCCTGTGATCCTATGACCTATGATCAAATGAAACAAAGACTACAGAGATTCCTGGGCTGATGAAGAGCAGTGGTCAGTCTGGTTTGGGTTCAGGAATGCTACAAAGTGGATGGTGCAATATACTACACAAATAATCAGCGCAGTGAGGAACGTGAGTGTCAGCGTGGACCAAACTGTGTTAGGCAGAAAAGGTGAGTTACACATAGCAGAATGTATTAAACCCTCGAGAGGTTATTTTTAAGAGACAGAGTTCCTCTGATGGATGCAAGAATTGACAGCATTTCAAATACTCTTTAGTCTGTTTATTCAGACAGATTGCTCATCAAGCTCCACTACTTTTTACCAGAGAGCTGACATTGTGCTCTGGAAAATGGTAGCGGACCTTGATGACTTACCAATGGCCAGCTCACAATAAGAATATCTTATACCCCTGCAGAGGACACAACTTATGCCTGGTTATATTTCATAGGTGTCTATGTATTTCCACATCCTTCTCGCCAAACAATATCCAAGCAAAGAGTAGACAGGCTGCATCTGAGAAACCTGTGGCAGACGTTTGAAAAACCTCAGTGTTAACCACTTTCTTCCTACTAGAGGAAGGACATTTTCTATAGCTATTCAAAAGCCTGCAGTTTTGAACTACTTTCCACCCAGAAGCTGTCAGGATAGGAGAAGCATGAGATTAGGCAAGTCCCAGCTTGAAACTGATAAAGAAACAAGGGATAAATGTGTGTTTTAAACTGTTATGAAGATCTCAGCTTGATCTCAACTTGAAGAGTTGGCCAGCAACAGAATGACAGACTGAGCAGGTGTCTGGATTAAAATGGCCGAGCAAATCCCACAACTCAAGTAGCTGGGGATAGCAGAACATGAATGAGCCAGCGTTTTTGTTTTGTTTTGTTTTGTTTTTTCCTACAGCTTTGTCTTACTGTATTTTTACAAGGATGTAGCACTCATGAATTTCCACATTAAGCCTCTGCTCAATAACAGTGATTGAGGACAGCATTACAAAACCACGCAACATGTCTGAGAATAGGATGGGTGGGAGGCAGGGAGGATCTTAGAGGGATTACTTACTTGAATTTTCTGTATAGCCTGTGTTCCTTCTTCCTGCGAGTAGTCTGCATTTGGCTGTATTCAAACATATTTTGTGGCCTTTGAAACTCAGGTCAGTTCAGGTCACTTGGGAATAACACTGGCACTTCTTCAACTTTCAACTTTATGCTCATTATAAAATTTTACCAGCCTAAATGTCATGGCATAGTTGTCTTCTTCTATTAAAAGGACATTGTATAGTGCTAGACTATGAATCAGTCTCCGGAGAGATGTCAGAAAATTCTCTGTTCATCAATATCTCTGGCTGACAACTACAGTCTGGGATTTTTCACTGAGACAGATATCCGCTTGTGTCCTATCAATGCTAGTAACATAAGATTTTTAATCAATTTTCATTTAAGAATCCTCTAGATAATAGGAGTGATGTATTGCATGAGCATTTACATTGGTCACAGTGTGTAGAAAGAAAATAAAAGAGGATTAGTGTAACTGTATGTTCCTTCAAGCAAAGTTATATTCAATTATTCTTTCAGGAGTAAAGCTGACATGAATGAGGGTGTGCAGCTGTGGATACTTTCAGCCATATGATCTTTCTCGTTTATGGCATCTTGCGCTAGTAAAAACTCTGAACTGTAACTCAGAAACTTGAACTTTGCTTTGGATTCTGTTTTTACCAGCTAATGCTATAATGCATTAGTGTAGTTACGATATAGGGGATATCTTAATTTGGCTCTCCTCTATTGAGCTAGCCCTGGGTAGTGTTAACCCTAGAGAGAGACCACATAGTTTCATCAAGCCTAAATTTCAGAGCACTTTAAAAAGGGAGTAAGTGAAAATAATTAACAGATTGTAGAACTTGTTTTCCTGTTATGGTTTATTTAGCAAAAAGCCCATACCTAACATAAAACACCTGGGGGTTTAATAATTTCAATTCATATATTCATTTTTAAAACAAGCCCATATCTTTAAAATTCCCTGCTAACTTAATGAGAACCTCAGCAATAAAGGCTTGGATTTATATAATTCCTGTGCTTTCTGGAGTATATAACTGTGGAGCATATAATTCCAGCTTTCTGGAGATCTTGTACATGCACAGAGGGGTTTGCTTTCAGGCTTATGGTGGAGAACCTTGGGAGATGTCCATGATACAACTTTTTTAAATGAGGGAAACAAAAGTTCTCTGTTAAACTAAGTGTGAGTGAAAGTTTTAAAATGAATTGCTGAAAACAGTCAGGAATTAAATTAGTTTATAATATCAGACAAGATTTTTCTAAGCATTCCAAAGGAACGCACCTATGGGCTAGGTCATGTGTAATCTATCACATACGTTCCAGTGCCAGAGAAATGAAAGATACATAAATTAATAACCACTTTCTAAATAGGAACCAGAGAAGAGCTATGGAATGTCTGATCAGGAGGTCTGACATCTGTAGCAGGCAAACTGAGCGAGGGGACATGCAGAGAAATTTTATATACTTGGGAAGACTTGCTCCAGCTTTTGTAGACAAAGAATAACGTGAGTGGGTCACCAGGAGATCCTTCTATAATCTTTATTATTAGATACTCATAAATAATTTGGGAAACATGAGTATGTTATAAGGTCTGTTAAGGTCTATAACATGAGTATGAGTTATAAGGTCTGTTAATGACTCTAAGGTATTCAGGGTAATAAAAGTGCAAGCCTAAAGAGCTGCAGAAGAATCTTGCAAAGCTTGAGTGATCAGATGATAAAATGTAAATGAAATGCAACAGTGATGAATGCAAAATACTGGACATGGAGAACAGCAGTCCCAACTATCTATGCATAGTGAAGTATTTTAAGGTGAATATTGCTGTCCAGAAACAAGATCTTTGAGTATAATTGATGGTTACTACGAAAATGTCAACTCATTGCTCACAAGGGGTCAAAGCAGTAACTCAAATATTACCCATTACTGTAGAAGAATGAAGAATGAAATAGAAAATAGTATGATGCCACTTCAAAAATCCATGACATACTGACCCCTTGAATAAAGAGTGATGTTCTGTTCCTATCTTCTTCATGAGACTTCCTATTGTAGAATACGAAAACACACAGAGAAGAGTGGTAATGGCTGCATCCTGTCATATCTACTTTCCTGGACAGGTGGAATAGTGAGGAATAAATGAATCCCAAAAAGGCCAAGTACTATCACAATCTTTGATGAAAATAGAGCCTCAGCTGCTGGGCTCCTGCTCTCAGTGGAGCAGATGAGAGGACTTGCATGGTCCTGGGAGATGGAGCAAGGATGTATCACAAGAAATCCTGTGGATTTGCTCACCTAGGGCCTAGGATTTCCTTAGCATTGGAATGTTTCTTATGGTGGTCTCAAAACGGCTACAGTGTAAGAGCACTATTCAAATCTGCTGTTTGTAACCTGCTACAGTGCCGATCTTTCAGTGCTGATCTAACATCACCATTAGGAAACGTGTATCTATTTTTTGGAGCAAGACACAGCTGAGCATTTCCCAAAGGGGTCTTGAGATGCATCTTCCTTGTCCCTAGAGTTGCCCTTAGGTGTAGCTTTGGGAGGATGCGTGTGTGAAAACATTGACCCAGGAGAGTAAGCCAACAATCCCTGGCCCCAGGCCAAGTAGCCACTACCTGTACTGCCAGCTGTCTCTAGAGACCAATCTGGATACATTCCCATCCTGAAATATTTGTCCCCTAGAACACTTCCATATCCTATGTCCCAGTACACATTTCTACCACATCCAGAGAGCATGTGAAGATGAGAGATGGGTATAAAATGTGCCTTTCCACCTCTTGGATTCCTGTAGAGGAAAGCTGGCACACGTTAAGTAGGGAGAGAGTCATGAGCCACTTGATGCTGGTCAGGTTGATGGGATATGCTGCAGAGTGTATGTATCTGCTCCACAGTCTGGATTTAGCTTGTATCTGACATGGAAAACTGGGCTATTGTTGACCTCTGCCTTCCTAATGGAGTGGCTTCTGCCCTCTGCCCCAGCTCAGCTATACTGGTCTACCCACGAACTCTGGGAAAGACACAAGGCCTTCTTCTGTATGCATAGCTGTAAACTTCATTTCTCTTGGAAATGTAGGAGAGAATATCTTCCTGACTGTCCAGGCTGTCAACGCATAGCATTAAAATGATAAGCCAGGCTCTAAAATTATAATATTATAAATCATTTTAATTTTCTGTATATCACATAGGGTTCTTGGCATTTCAGGCTTTTCTCAGCAACTAGAAAAGCTGCAAACAAATTTTGGAAAACTAAAGCTGCAATTCTTGAGAAATTTCTCAGGCCTTGCAATTGAAGCTGTGAGAGGAACACTGAAATCTGCAAGTATTGTAGTAAAACTTTAATCACTGGTAACATCATTTTTTTTGCATGTAGATTCTCCAGTCCTTCATTGACTGTACATATTTGACAAAGTGTGATAAGAAAGGATGAAAATAACTCTTATTTAGCTGCTTCCTAACATCCAGCTTGATTCAGCAAGGTTTTTACACAAAGATTTTCTCTATTCTAAGCATGTGTTTTAATAGTTTCATGAGATGTGTATAAATATATGTATGTATTTATGGAGCTGGATTCCACTCTCACAAAGCCATTGGCAAAATTCCTATGAAGTTCCAAGGGAACAGGATTAGCCCGTTAATGTTTTAATAGTTTTGTGACTTCTCATTGGCTAAAGGACAAGCTACAGAAAGCAGACTTTCTGTGAGGTTTAGACTACATTCTTTCTGCCTTTTATCAGGAAAACAAAACATAGTTGAAGTCTGTCAAGCCTAGACATTTCAGAAGATTTCCTGGCTTATTTATAAGAAGATTCAGGAAAAAGTTGCATCCATGAAAGAAGAGATTTTTAATTTTTTTCATGGGACAGTTGCCTTGTAAATGAGTGAGATAGCAGCATATCCAGAACCAATTTATTAGAATGGGCATGGCCACACTTTTTAGTCTCTGCTCCAGTATGGGGTTCTGGTCCAAAATATCTCCTGGACCTGCCAGCTCTGTCATGATGTTGTTTCTAGTGAAACAGGTAAGTTAATTCAATAATTAGCTATTGACAATACGAAAGAAGTTTCCTTTCACATAGCATTTTAACCTTCACAAGCAGCAAACTAGTTTCACTAATAGATCTGAAATAAGAATTTAAGTTTGATAAAAATTAGTCATGAAAAATGTTGACTGAGAAACTATAGAATTTTATATTACAACTCACTCTGACTAGGTCATTAATACAGTTTTCTTCTATTTATGCTGGTTCATACAGTGAATAAATAGTATTTACATTTGTTTTATATACTCTCCTTTCATATCAATAGCAATTAATATTAGATTATTTTTTTCAATTTCCCTATCAGATATCAATACAACAATGAATCTTTCTTATTTTTTACTATTTTTCCCACTTTCTTGCCTTGTAAAAACAGCTTTGCTTTATTTGTGACACTACTGTTTAGCCTTTTAGACATACACAAGTGTTTATTAGGCATTCCTTTTTGTGTTTCTGCAAGCTGATATTATTGGTAGCATTCTACATCTCAGCTTTTCACAGAAGGCTAGCAAAACTAGGTATAATTTTTGGATTATTACTTGTAGAGCTCTAGCAAACCATCAATTTGCTTTTCTACTACATCTAGAAAAAAATTTTAATAAACTTGCTTCTTCATCTATATTGTCTTAAAATTTGGGACAGTTTTAGGTATTTAATGACAAAATATCTCAGTGAAATTCATTTCTAGGAAATTTTCATATGTGTTTTAATCCCCATATTTATCTTTAACTCAGTACATTTTAAAATATAGTTTACTTAGGTGTTGTAGTAAATTTTAATTCGTCTGAAGAAAATTCATATATAAATTTAGGATAGATTTCTATGAAAAAAGTTTATCTTAACCTGAAAGTAATAGTATATTTCTATCCACCTGTCCTCCACTTAGCCAAGTTCTTAAGGAAGCATGCTTATATGTGCACATTACTGAGGTTGTAACTTTGCTTATAGCATTTTTATGAATAACAAGTTATTAGGTGAAATGTATTCCAAATTTTTTACTAGAAAACATTCCTGTTGCTTGTGTGAGAGCTTCTTGCACATAAAAGAATACAGAACGGAAAGGGCTCTCAGGTTTGTAAGCCACATTCAATCTATCGTATACCTCAAGCAAAGTGCTGGTGCCATCAAAATTAACAAAAAAATTCCTAGTGATCTCAATGGGGTCAAAATTTTGAAAGCATATAAATTCATTCATGGTGAATAACTTTGTTATAGTGAACTGTGGAACTTGTTTACATCAGATAATTTAAACCATAGTAAAGAAATCATAGTAAAGAAATAATCATAAATCACTTTATCCGTATTTCCTAGACAAACACCAACATAGCTATAAAAATCATCAGTCAGGGTACATCAGGATCATGGCTGAAAGAATCAGTAAATCCTTAAGCTCTTATGTCATTTCTGCTTTATATAGAAAGTTCATTTTTTTCATATTCCAAATAAACAGTCACCACTTCCTTTCACCACTAGCTTAATATAACTCAGTAATTGAAAGGTCAAAAACTGATTATGCTATAGCCAATGATGGAAAAATAGATTTAAATCAGGCTGTTTGCAACCATAGAGATTCATTTTTATAATTCACTTCTTAGGTCAAAGCTTCAAGCAGCGATATCTGCTGCATCCAGAATACTTTTAAAGAGTGACTACTGTTGTCACCCTGGTGCAGTTTGAGTGCTCTGAGTAACAAAAATGAATTGAAAGACCCTTTCAGGTAACTTTGATTAAATTTTAATGACACTAAAATTTGTTTTGCATTGGGTGCTCAGATTCTCAAGCTGAGGTGGCTCATATGTTACCAATGAAACTTCGAACACTCTGAAGGGAAGAAACTTTCAGTGCATGGCAAAGGTTAAGGCTTTCTGAATTTCTGTTTTGCATTTTAGAGTCTAAATTCTAATAAAGGTCTGTTTAAATGCTAGAGTGGCTAAATGTTAACTGAAAGCTAAAACTGAGATCAAAACTCATGCTCAGCTGCATATTGTCATGGCCTGAGATCACTATAAATTTACCTGAAAGCTTGCTTTTCTACTGCTGAGCATGCATAGCATCTCAACTATGATGGCACTGAGTAGCTCAAGGCTTAGGTCATAATAAGATCTCACTGGGATCTGTAAAGATAATCACAGGCCTATTTCAAATTGAGGAGTGATTTGGCAGCTGTTTTCAGAACATATGTACAGAACTGGACTTTCTCCCAAATATGGCCAAAGGAGGAAAAGCTCCCAAGTTCTCAGTAGTGGTTGCCATATTCATCAAGGAAACTACAATTCTTCATCTTCCTGAGAGAACTTGAACTCCTCTCTGAAGAACATTAATCACACGGATAAAAGATATAGATGCAAGCCTGTCTCATTGAAGAGACATTGAATAATTGAAATAATTAATGAAAAAATTGCAAATGATTGGAAATTAACAGGGGAGCAGAGAATGACAGCACAGGTCAGCTAATAAGGACCATTTGGATCACATAGAGGCATGAGCTCATCCTCAGAGCATATGCTGTAATGGCTTCTTTTTGAACCATTTTCACTTAATTAGACAGACATTGGAAATCAAGGTGTCCCACCTCCTTAGAACCTCTTTCCCATATCCCCCAGGATAGTGCTTTATTCCCAGTCCAGTCTATCTTCTCAGTGGCCAGTGAATATGTCTACTTAATGCGAAGAGCTTGGCAGGAAGGACTGAAAATGTCCCAGTGCAGAACACATTCAAGTCTTCTGTCTAAGGCACCTGCATCAATCTCTGTCAAGCTAAGAAGGGAAAGAAAGCTATCTTCCTCATTCCAAGTAACTGCCAGCTTTCTTCAGCCTTTCTCAGTATCCAGATCCTTAAAGATTTGCCCCAGTGGGAGTGGAGACCACTGCAGACCCAATGGTAACATGTAAGATGCAGGCTTGCTTTTCTTAGCTGTTTTTGGTAGGCCCTGTATAAGTAGCCCATGAGTAATTCCCAACATGCTATCATTTAAGTCCTCACGGGTTGCAGTTGACTCTATGTAGCCATTTCTTTGATAAGATAAACCTTTGGGGATTTCTTAGCTTTTTATTTTAATACTTGAGGCCACTCTGACACTCTCCTAACAAATTGCAAACTTCTCACCATCTCTTTTGAAGCCTGGCCATCAGAGTTAATCATAATATGAAGACAGAGTTGAGCCAAGAACAAATGCTGCACCATAGTTCTTTTCAACATTCCCACTTGTATGTTGAAACACAAGGATGTCAACAATCTCTTTTCCTGCAGCATTGCATAAAGAGGTTTCCTGTCACTTCATTTCTACAATTAAATTTAAGTCCTTCTCAGAAATCATTGCTGACCTGAAACACATCTTCCAGCTGTGGCTTCTAGGAGTAAATTTTGCAATAGGTGTATTACAGTGTATGCTCTGCGGATGAGCTCGTGCCTCTATGTGATCCAAATGGTTCTTATTAGCTGACCTGTGCTGTCATTCTCTGCTCCCCTGTTAATTTCCAATCATTTGCAATTTTTTCATTAATTATTTCAATTATTTTATATGTTCTTCTAACTCTGCATTTAATATCAACTTTTGAGGTTAGCTGACTCAGTGCTTAATTTTGTCTGGTGCTGACCTCATTTTATATAAGTTGATTCTTTTGTTTTTTTCATCAGAATGTCTTCAGTGGAAAAACCAAGCATCTCACATCACTAGTGACCAGGTATTAGATTTCAGACTCTGTTTCTGGCTTTGCAGAGACTGACAAATACATAAGAAAGTGAAGTGAAACTGTCATTTATGCTTAAGCTGCTCCACCCTCTTGTTAAGTGAGTTTCTTCCATCAATTTTTCTCAAATCTGTCTCTGGAAATGGAACCAAACAAGCAGCTTGTAGCAGTTATGAGGCTTTCCCTGTACTTCCTTTGCTGTTTAATGTGTTTGTTTATTAGAAACTGAAGTGCTATCCTTTAAATTAAGTAATCTTTTCTACAACTGCGTCATCTCCATCGCTTTGCCTCTTCAAATGAGGTTCAGTGACCTGGGAGTGTCTCAAGAATCTCCCCTGGCTCCCAGCATTTTGGGGCCTGCACCAGGGAAACGTCAAGATGCTTTTATTTTGGGAACGTACATTCCTTTCTCATGCATGTTGTAAATATTCTCTCCTTATCTTGCAAGTCCATCAAATGAAGAATAAGTATAGACTTTCTACTCCCTGGAATTTCAAGGAGGGTGTCTGGAAATTAGCTGTGAGTCTCAAAGCAGAACTTTGGACAGGCTTCATTTTATGCAGCAAAAACGTGTATGAATGAGTGGTCCCATATAACAGCTAGACAATTTTCATCACTATCCTTGTTTTGAAAACAAACAAACACAGGATTTTCTTTATTTTTCCAACAAACTTAGGTCCAAAGATAAGATACAGGTGAAGTTCATAGCCATATAGTAACCTGTTTATGTTATTAACAACAACAAAAAAATTAAAAGGAGAGGGAAAATTAATTCTCTCCTAGGGAAAGGAATGGAAGGAGTAATCAGGCTGAGAAATGCTACAGAATATAATGACTTCCTAAGAGATCTTAGGCTTTTTTGATTCCCAGTTCTGGTTAAAGAGCCACTTGGATGGAAACAGAAAAAGGGGTTGAGCTTAAATCTTCTGTATCCATAGAGGAATATTTTGCCCAAGCTCAGAGTAATGCTGTTAGTCCATTGACATGTGCATGTGTGTTCAGTGATGACTGTCAGCCCTTGACACCTCACCAAGCTTGCAGAATCCCAGTACATTGCACATGTATGAAAGGCAGTTCTCAAAAAGGTTCTGGTCCAGATAAAGGGATCTTCCTTGGAAAATTGAAAAGGATCCTTTATCATGATAGTTATTTTTGAAAACGTATTTAGTCTGCTCTCCAAAATGATCATGGCAATCTGTAACATTTTCAATCAGCACAGAACTACTCATTTTTGGTGGCGTATAGTAATGGTGTTCTTGGACTATCTGCCTGCCTCTGGCCTCTCAAAGTCCTGGTTTAGGAGACCAGCTGCGATATTACACAGGGACTGATATTTTCCCTGGAAAAATAATGATCAAGTCATCATACTGATGTTGATTGGTAAGCAGTATCTAGCACTATCCTTTCTCTACTGCTTCACTCTTAGGTGGGCATTTCTTCAACAGCTCAACTCTAGCATATAACAAACCAATTTTGCATTTAAGTCTTCTCTTTTTAGCCATTCCTTTCCTAAACAGTATTTATCAACTATGGCCCTCTGAAGGCCTCTTCAGTGAGATGCCATGTAATAAAGATGTGTCAGAAAGGCTGATATTAACAGAGAGCAAGCTAAAAATGTGAGAATCCCTTTGGGACAATTGTAAGCCTTAAACTGATAAGGCACGTGCCAGAGATGTTTACCACAACCCAAACATCATTCATTGATTTTCTGACAAAAATATTTCACCCCATACAGAATGGTCATACCTAGGCAAAAAAAAAAAAAAAAAAACTTTTCGGACCAGTATAGTCTCCTCTATCAGTCACTGTATATAAAATCCTTGTAAAAGTCCCCTGATGGGGACTGATGGTGGATATTTTTAACATCAGAACAGATTTTATATTTAGAAGCAATTCTAACCCAGTGGAGATGAATGTAAACCTCCCCTGTGTGCTGACAACTGTACATCTACATCCCTGTGCTCACCCACTCCTGCTAAAACATAAGCCTCTCATTTCTCCATATCTGCTTTCTGGTCTTAGTCCAAGAGCAAGACTGTTCCTTGTCAAGGCCAAAAAGGCAACGCAAAAGGTGCAAGTGGGCAAACAGAACTGAGATGAACAGTCACGTTTTTTGTTTGTTTATTTGATTTTAAATAAGAAAAAGAAAGATGTTAATGGCAAGGTTGCAGCCATTGGAGGACAAAATGGCTTTTGCAGTGCTGGTGGGGAGAACACAATGCACTAGAGAAAAAGTGTTATTAGCAAAATAGTATTGTTTATTCATTACTCATTTATTCAAATTTTTACTGAACACAATTGATCATCTTTAAAAATAGGCCAAAATAAAACAGCCCTGAAAATTATCATCAATCAGATTCATAAATTAATCCAGAAGAAATATAAATACACAGGAATAATTAGTGGACCATGACATAAACTGACTGTAAAATGCTTGGAAAGATTTTAAGATTTGTGAAGATCAGCACACATTTTCTACAAAGTAGGAATGAAATTCCAGTGTTTTTGGTGCACCCCCCCCAGATCATAGCAATTAAATATCTGTGGATTTTTAGAAGGGAACCAGAGACATGTTGAATAACACTGTGGCAATAGATTTCTTGCTCAAGCAAATATAACCATTGATGAAATGTCACTACTAGCTTCCTGGGGAAGAAGGGATTTTGTCTTTCCCTCCCTTTTTACCTCATCTCACCTTGCCTTGCCTCTCCTCTCTGCCTAAATTTGTATAACTGAAGGAAGCTTGTACTATTAAAGATCACAAGGCTCTAAATGATTTTCTTTATGTCTAATATTTTTACCCACAGGCCAAAGGATCTCTGTTGGAAAAAACCACATCTAGATGGCTCAGCTATAAAAAAGAATGCTTGAAAATGCTACAGGAATCAGCTGTAGTTACTGGTAAGGAAACAAACAGCACAATAAGGCAAAATATTTAAAGTAACATTGCTGAATATTCAAATATTCAAATTCTTTACCTTGCTTTGAAGAAGCGTGTATCTGTTTTTAAGTTCTAAATGTATTACAATCAGCTATAACTTGATAACCAAACAGATGCAATCATGAAGTTAAGGTCTCTTTTTGTCCTGAAACATGTTATATGTTACAAATCCAGATTATATACAGGAGAACCCTTGAGTAGCTGATCCTGAGCTATCACTGTGGTACAGCACCGAGTGCATCGGCAAGATGTGGGTACTACCCATTTTAAGCATGAACACATCCTTTGGATGCAGGAGACAGCTCCTATTTCAATCTGAAGGAAGTCAAAGTCATATTTTTGGAAAGTGTGCTAGCCGTAAGACAACAGATAATGCAGGAGAAAGAAGGCAGTTTCAATTTCTTATTTAGAAACTGAGCCATGACCGACAAGAATCCAAAACAGATGAAGCAAGATAGAGGCTGATTTCTGGCTAGGAAAGTCAGCAGGAGGCCTGTTGTTTTCTCACAGAACTGTTTATGCATTTTGCAGTACAGCCATTATGTTAATAAAACAAACAAAAGCAAATAATTTAAGACAAAGACTAGGTTGCCCCATATTTATCTGACACCTATAACCATTAGCCTCAAGTTTCAGCCCTTATTTATTCTCCTAGCCCCATGCCTTTTGGATTCTTGGATGAAAAGTAATGTCTAAAGCTAGAGTGGACAGCAACTAATGTCTTCTCCAGAAAGGTAAAAGTGGTGGAGAAAGGAACTGATTCCACAAGACTGGTTGAGTGCTCTAAGGTTAATGTTTCTGTGCAAAAGGGGAGTTCATAATCTCTGATTATATCATTCTTAAAAGAATAAGCTCTGCTCAACTAGGTGCCAACTCAGAACGTACAGTGAATGAACAGATAATATTTCAATTGTATTTCAAAAGAGGTGGAGAGGCATGAACATGGATGGTAACTAAACTCCCTATCAGCAAGTGGGTAGCCAATGAGGACATGTATGTGAGCTGAGCCTATCATATATTCTGCTCATCACATATTGTCCTCCGTATTTAAGCTGAGGCATCCCAAATAGATGCTAGTGAGATAGCACACACCTAGTCTTTGTTGCTCTACATATTCTCTGTCCCACACAAGTTTTTCGAAGTATTGATGAGTGTCACAGAAAACAAGGAAGGATATGTTCTTCTAGCTTCGGATGGGCAGCAAACATTTAAGTTAAGAAAGAGGAACCTGAGCTTATCCTAAAAGGAAGGCAGAAAAACAGAAGTTAGCCAAGAGATTGCAGCAGCCAATAATGCATTTTATTTGATCCTTTTGTAGCTTGGTTGCAGCAATCCGATTCTACATTTTTAAGTGTTTTATCTTATCCTTCAGTTCTGAGAGTGATGTGATGTCTATGAAGCTTAAATCTGCCTGAGTTAGTCTGAGAGCTTCCCAGCTACCTAATTCCAATTTCCCAGAGAGTAACAGGGCACAGTGTCAGGGATGATGACAATCGTCTGAGCTGAAAATTGGTGTCACAGAGGTCATGAAAAATGGAACATCTTCCATTTGTTACCAAAAAGTCTCTGGCATGTTAACAAGACATGTCTGAATGTGTGTTATATGAACGTATGTGGAACAAAAGATGCCTTAGGATGATTTTGAGCTATGCCCTCAAGCTCCTAATGAAGCACATAAATCCTGCTTCTTTCCTATTGATCCAGGGAAGAGGGGTAACCACGGTTTTTGCATTGTGCATAGAGCATTGCACAGTGAATTCACACAGTTTGTCTGTTACATCTTGTAAATATTCTTTGGATCATTGCTTGCCAGAGCACAGCTCTCCATGTGACAGGAGTCAAAGCCACTCCACACAGAATGCACCCGTGTGATTGCAGGTTACCTAGAACAGTACGCAATGGTTTTCATAGTTATCCATTGAATAATTTTTTGGTAAAACAACATCTGTTTGCTTCTCTTCCCAGGAATACATTGTAATGGGACATTTGATCAGTTTGTTTGCTGGCCTTACTCACCCCCAGGAAATGTCTCTGTTCCTTGCCCTTCATATTTGCCATGGTTGGAAAATGGTAATGTGAAAGTGGTAACTTTTCTTGGAGTTGCTTGGAATCCAGCTAAGCGACAAGTGGTGCTGGTCTCTGCTGTCCCAGTGTCCCACTGCCTGAAAGCTTTCCTGTCTCACAGCTTTCCTGACATGAGGCACAGACTTGCTGCCAGTCTTTAGTTGGGACTTTATTTATCCTTTTCTTTCCATCTGTGCTTCTTACAGCTCCATTATTGTCTGCCTCAAATGAACATTTCCAAGAATGTGTAAACGTACTGCCAGGCCTTGATTGGCAGCAACAGATTTGGGATTCAGCTTCTGAGGTTCAACTTCTGGAGTCTCCACCGAAACCAGAAATGAAGCTTTCACCCAGAAAACTTCAATAGCCAAACAAAGGTGTCTGAGCAGTCCTTTAGTAAGCCGTACTGCACCGCCAGCCAAGTGTTGAATTGAACAAATGGGCTTTCCAAATAGTGTTTTCTTGAACAGAGTGAAGCAGGGAGGTACTAAGGAAAAGAAAAAGAGTAACATTTGCAGGAGTAAAACTATCCAAGAGCAAACAACCTTCCCTTTCTTCAAAATGAAAGGACAGACATTCCTACCAGCGGTGGGTAGATCTGCTGCCAGCTACATAACCTGCTTTCATAGCCACATTTCTAAAATCACCTGGGAGAACCAGTATGTTTAAGCCCTTTAGTTTATGGGAGACTACTGAGGGCTGCTTATCCTAGCTTTCTCCAGCCCACTCCACATGTGATTTGTTAAATTGAATGAATAGTTGGTTCTGAAATTTCATCATTTGCCCTTTTTTGGGCTGCTAAGCAGAAAGAGGCCCTGCCTTTATCTCTTCTCCCAAATATCTCCTTCTGCCAACTGTTTGGAACAAATCCAGCTTTTCATAATAGCATTTTAGCATCTCCTCTCCCTCCATGTAATAACGATTCCTTTTTTCCCCCTTTTCTATCTGAATTTCTGCAAATACAAGACGTAAGACATAGCACCAGTTCATGAAACCTTTTCACTGTGATCACAATGGGGGATACTTCACTTACAGCAACATTCAGCATTCCCATCCATGCCACAGCACCACTGGAGAAGAAGCATTAGAGAAAGCTCTGCTACCTGACTGTTCTAAGGATTCTGCAAGGCTGGGGATGGGGTACCTGTCTATCTGTCCTAGTACATAGTAGGACTTGGAAATACTCTGAAGTCCAAGGCTGATTTTTCATGGCTAATTGTCATTGCCAAGTCTGAGCACTTAAAAATTAGGATAGTCTAGAACTGAGACTGGCTTTCTGATCACATTTGGCATACATCTTTGGATTTTTTTCATCATATAAAGTAAGTGTCCACTCCAGTTATAGTCTACGTAAATTTTAGTCTCTGTTCCTGGCTCTGGAATCCTGAGGCACAATCTCATAGTCAGCCTCCTCATTGGCCCTTGTGAAGATGACAGTTTACGGTGTGTGGCCAAGCTTCTCCCTAGTACTGGTGCCTAAGATCTCCCAAAATGTTTTTCTTCTTTCTACCCCTTTGTGTCTTGGGTTGGTGAGTTTAACAGCTTTGGAGCTAACCTGGCAATAAAGCAGGACCACAGCACATCAGAGTGGTTTCTGAGTTGACAGCTCAGAAAGTTGGTTCTCGGAAACTAGCACAAATCCTAAGTTGGCTCCTAACCTGACCTGATTTGGGCTTCTGGGATTCCTTAGTTATTCATGTTTTGCCATTTTTTTTATTTGGCACCTTGTACAGAACAGGTCCTTAAAGACAGCCTCCATCTCTCTGTGGTGTGCCAAAGTTCCAGTAAAAGCACCAAAGTCATTTCCTTCTTTGTGGTGAGGGGAGATCTGTTACAGCCCCACTACTTGTCAGACCAGTAGAGGTGTGCTGACTACAGACATGCAGTCCCTACACAAAGCTCCTGCTCCATCATACCAGTCTGCACTCCAAAAGCAGTTCTCTCAGTTCCAGTTACCCTAAGAGAAATGAGATATTCTGCTGCTGCCACCCTTAAACACTTTCTAATTCAAAAATGAAAAAAAACCCTGCCAGTCTGATTAGAAATAAATGGAAAGCAGCTGCTGAGGACAACTTTAAGATGAGGTCACAGAATCACAGAATGGTTGAGGTTGGAAGGGACCTCTGGAGATCATCTAGTCCAACCCCCCTGCTCAAGCAGGGTCCTCTAGAGCATATTGCCCAGGATCGAGGTCAGGGGGCTAAAAGAGATCCCATCTTTCACAAAGAAAATAAGGGGACATTACTGAAAAACAAACATCAGCCAGCATCTTCACACTGTTCCTCTGCTGTTATAGGCAAAATCTTAATTAGCATAGATGAGTACCACACAGTGTAAGTTGAGGAAGCTTTGTCAGTTTACATCACTCACTGCTCTGGCCCTAAAGTACAAAAATAAAACACCAACCACAGGTATTTCAAAACCCAAGAGAATGACCATTCTTTGATCGAACTATCCTCTTCCTCTTATAATTTTGGCTGCATGGCTTAGGCATACTTATGAGCTTAGTGAGGAAAAAGAAATAAAATGAAATGTGGGCTTTTCTTTTGGGTGTAGTAACCATGTGCTTACTGGAAATTCTAGGTACACACTCGGAGTTGATTTCCA